CACTTAGTGCCATGGTCTAGTGATGACGGTAGGGTTGGACTCGATGATCTTTGAGGTCTCTTCCAACCCAGTTGATTCTATGATTCTATGATTGCTTGCTTGCTAGAGAAGCTAGGCAGGTCCAGGCTGCAAAACAATGAGCCTCCAAACAGGCAAAGAAAAGAAGATGCTTATGGCTGGGGAATCAAGCAAGCATGCAGACATCTATTTAAACAAAACAGGAGAGGGAAAGAAGTCATCTCAGCAGCCAAGCTGCTCCCCCCATCTACAGTAGTCTAATCACTTTTTATACAAACAGGATGAAAACACCATTCAGGGCTGTCTTGTCAGCTCATCCCATTCCATGGAAGTTTTATAATGGAAAGCCTCTGTAACAATACAACAGATTCACTTGTACCACAATCTTAATTGAACTGCTGTCTCCACTGCTGCTCGCTGCCCTGCGGATTCAGGTAAAGCACAACTAAACTGATGGCAGTGATTCATCTGCTTGGATTCAATTTATACCCTCAGCCTTCTGCTAAAGAAAAAAAAATAATGTATTACAATGTCTGGTAAAAAGCCAAGTTATTAGAACAAAATAGAACCTCTCTCACCTGGGCTGGGTTTGCTTCTCTAGCACTAATTGCATTTTTACTTTTTTTAAATAGAGATATGCAGTAGACATAACAAATGAGTATTTCAATCTGTCCATAAAAGTTAACGCATCATTAAAAATATAATAAAAAAGCATTAAGCAATGGAATTGATTGTCAGACCTGTGACCTTCAAACAGCAAAGACACCACAGAGAGGAAACGGATGCAGACATCTACCAGCACTGGTACAGAGGTTTGTTGGTTGTGAGAGAGGCAGGTAAACCCAACAGAGACCTACAGCTTGGCCTCCCATCACCTGTTCAGTCCTAGTGCAACAGGTATACTCACTTTCTGTCAATCAACAACTTACAAAGAAAAACAGGAACAATGTAAGACTCTAATCAAGCCAATTGAATCCTGGGCTGCATCCCAAGGAGTGTGGGCAGCAGGTCAAGGGAGGTGATTCTTCCCCTCTATTCTGCCCTGGTGAGACCCACCTGGAGTGCTGCATTCAGTTCTGGTGTCCCCAACATAAGAAGGACATGGAACTGTTGGAGCAAGTCCAGAGGAGGCCACAAAACTCATAAGAGAACTGGAGCACCTTTCCTCCAAGGCTGAGAAAGTTGGGGCTCCTGAGCCTGAAGAAGAGAAGGTTGTGTGGGGACCTTGTTGCACCTTCCAGTGTCTCAAGGGGCTCTAGGGAAGCTGCAGAGGGACTCTGTTAGGAGCTGCAGTTACAGGTGAAGAAGAAATGAGGACAAATTGAAGAGGGGAAATTTAGATATTAGGCAGAAGTCTTCCCTGTTCTGGTAGTGAGACCCTGTCCCAGGTTGCCCAGGGAGGCTGTGGCTGCCCCAACCCTGGCAGTGTTCACAGCCAGGTTGGATGAGCCTTGAGCAACCTGCTCTGGTGGGAGGTGTCCCTGCCCAGGGCAGGGGTTGGATCATCTCTAAGGTCTATTCTAACCCCTTAGCTTTCTATGATTCTATACCATATTAAAGCATTCCTAATATTTGAAAAGCTCCACTTGTGCCTGGACTAATAAGCACTAGGACAAACAATCCTCTTGCACAGTAACAGTTATTTTTATGATTTTTTTCCTGCAAGTCTTCAGAATACATTTAGCATTAAGCCAGGCTTATTTGCATTTAACTAGCACTATGGTATTCCTGTCACTTGCTGCTTGAAGTCTCTGTGTCAGTGTAAGCATTTGCTAATACACAAGCTTATCTATATGAAAATTCACCAGAGAACTTAGTTTTGTTTTGTCAAAAGACACAACAGGGCCAGCTCAGAACAACATTCTGCTTTGCAGGTTGACACATTTCTACAGTCCAAGTGAATTCATCATTAACACAATGATAACATGTAATAGAATAACAGGAAATAATGAGAACATTCAGGAAAATTACCTTTAGGACCAGCAATGGCCCTTGCTCCTCAAAGATGTGCACATTTAATACAATTAGCAATTGCTCCTTTTTTTCATTAAACTACTTTTAAACTCCACATTTCTGACCAATGGAACTAGCTGGATTTCTATAAGGAATCTTTGGGGACACAACAACTCCTGGATATTTGAAAGAGCTTTGTAAATGTGCAGAATTACTCATAATCAAATTGAAAAGATCTGATAGTTTTGTTCCAGGGAAAATAAAAGAGAGACATCTCCCACTCCCAAATCACTGTTTTCTTTATCCTAAGAAGCTGATGACCAACCTCCTACAGAAAAATCACTAAGAGCTGTTAGAAAGTAAACATATCCTCAAGGGTTCTGTTTTTTCTGCTGCTTATCTTTATTCCCAATCTGTGAGATTATAAATCAATTGCTTTATTTTAATGCTAAAACCTACACCCTTGGAGAGCACTCAGACCTAACAAATGGAATTATGAAATAAATTGCTTCTGAAACATGTCTGAAAGCTTGTCTTGATTTTGAGGGTAGAGCAGTGGGGAAAGAGCAAAGAATGAGCATTTAGCAGTTCTGCCATTGTGTAAAGCTTTGCCACATTCACATCCTGATGGTGTGTGCAGTTGTTCTCCACATCCCAGGAGGACACCCTGGAGTTAAGAGAATGCATACAGATGGGCAACTAAATTGATTAAAGGAATGGAGCAGCTGCCTCACCAGAAGGGTTAAGAACAAGGCAACAGCAAGACTAGTGTTCAACAAGTCACACCAGAACGTGGAAGCACTCATCAGAAGATTGATTTGGGACACATGAGGGTTTCCTCCCTCCCAGTTACACTCCAAAAAACCCCCCCACACAAGGTAGTTACTTCTACAATGTGATTGTGGTAGAGTGAACTTGAAAACAGCAATCCCTGCACAACTGGTCCATACCAGACATAGACAGGGATGTGCCATACCTACTCCTTCCAATCAAGAGAAGGGGGAGCTGTATCTGACTGCATTTGCCTGTAACTGCATCACTAGTTACAACTAAAGGGCTGAGCCAACTGCTCCT